AGCTAGGGAAGGAGGCTGGGAAACTGCAGGCAGAAGGGTAGGAGTGTCCTGACCCAACGGCCAGCGGAGAAAGGATTCTGAGAAGACAAGAGTGGAGAATTCTTGCCGGAAAAGAAAATAAATCTCCACCTTAACCTACTCCAGCTAGAGCCACAGGTTTAAAAGTCACACACACACACACACACACACACACACACACACACACACCGCCCTCACGATCATCACACCCTGCTCCCCAGCCCCGAGGGGCTGCCTGCCACCTCCATCCTCCACCACCCCCACCCCGCTTCCTGGGAGTTGCAGCCTCTCCCAAGCAGCCTAGAAAGGAAACAGATTTAGGGCGAGGCCAAGAATGAGGACAGCCACGGGAGGGGCTCCTTGGAGACTACTGGGAGGCCCCTTAGAACCAGGCGCCCAGGGTCAAAGCCACTCCCACCCCCATGGGGTCCTCGCCAGGGTTGTAGGGGTGGGGGCAGCACTCACTTCTTGCCCAGCTGCCGGGCCACGTCGCAGCGCTGGAAGCCCTCAAGGTGGTAGAGGCGCCGTGCCAGCCGGCGAGCGGCTTCGCTGACCCCCTGGCACCCGTTGGCCAACGGGTCCGCACTGCCTGGCTCCAGCCCCTCTGAGCTGCTCAGCTCTGAGTCAGAGTCTGACAGGCCGTCCTTCAGGCTGGGGTCACTGCAAAGGGAGGAGGGGGAGAGAAGGGAGTCAGAGGCCGAGCAGGAAGGAGCCAGGTCAGACTCTTGGAAGGCCTTCTCGCGTGTAATCACGAGTGACGCGGCGCAGCTGCCTGACCCCCTGAGCCGTGGAGACATGGCAGCGCAGGCTGGAGCCACAGAACCTAGCAGGCTCTGGGGAGTCTGGGTACAGAGAGGTGGGGACCCTGGGCTCCCCTAACCCAGCTCCCAGCCGGGGCCTCCTCACCTGGTTGAATTCAGCAGCTTCTCTGTGTCCTCCTCCTCTTCCTCTTCTTCCTCCTCCTCCCCAACTGGACCCTGAGGCCCATCCTCATGGAAGCCGTTGGGCATGGTCGTGAGAGACAGGTGGCTCAGGACGTTCTCGGAGCGGCTACTGGAGATGGAACAGCGCAGGGGGCTGCCCAGCTCCCCATCGCCGCCAGAAGCCCCCATGTCCCCCTCGGGCCCCATGTCCCCATTGCCCAGCCCAGCCCCTGGCTCTGGGCTCTCCCGGGCCCGCTGCTGGATGAGGGGCGTGAGCGGGGCCTCGAAGCTGACGCAGCTGTCGCTCTCGTCCGTGAGGCTCAGCACGTCCAGCGAGTCCAGGCTGCTGTACTGGGTGCCCCGCAGCAGCTCTGACTCCACAATCTTCTCAAAGGTGGCGCTGAAGCCATCTCGAATATCCGGCTCCCCAGGGCCACCCAGCCTGTGAAATGAAGGGAGCCGGTCACCCCTCAGCCAGTGTCAGAGGCTGGTGACTGTCCCCATCCTCCCAAGAGCTCGGTGGGGTGTGGGAGCAGGCAGGGGCTGTGTCCCGCCTGCTTGTTCTTTCAGTCAATGCTGACTGAGCACAGGTTCCGGATCGGGACTAGGGACCCAGCCATGAAAAGGGCGGACCTGGCCCCCAGCACCTCCTCGTGCTCCGTCATGGGCATCAAAGAAGTATTTGTTTTCAAGAAAGCATGCCCCGGGCAGGCTCTTCCCTCAAGGTTTCCAAAGCAAAGGCCACAGTCCATTCGTGGTCACCAGGGGTGGGAGGGGGCGGGGGTGGCCCTGAGCCCACGGTGGCAGGTCAGACATCACCACTGATGAGCGAGGTGCTCATCCACACTCACTGCACGGCACGCCACAT